GGTCTGGTGCGCGTTGCTATTTATAAATATTATAAATAATGTTACTACGAACTTTACATCTATTTCTAGGTAACATCCAGAACAAAAACAGCTTTATGAGACCTGCTAAATGGAAAAAACTGTGCGGCAGATACGTGACTACACATGGCAGTGCACAGATGAGATGAGCTTGAACGAAACTTGTTTCTTCCACACTGAGAGATACACTCAACTCCTCAGACGGAAAGAAAGAAGCTTTCAAAAAGCATATTTTGCAACGTAAAAAACATATTAAAGTGTAAAATGTAATAAAAAAAAGTTTGAGAAAAATTAGAAAGATTTGAAAGAATAAAGCTGTAAGGAAGCCCTCATCGATCCACTGGGATCCAGTTGTGAATCACCACGAAAATTATCAAAATAATGTTGCGCACGTCGTGCGATCGCTATTTTAGCAAGCGATGATGCGTTCATTATGTATAAATACGGCACATAGTCAAGTACCACATCTGCAAATAGAGTGCTGAGGAACAAGAATGGAAAATCCGTAAGAATATAAAAGAAAATCAAATTTAATGGATTTCCTGAAAAGGGACATTCAGTCATTCTGATGCATCCCAAATTTCCCAATTTGTAAAGAAAACATAACCAGCATTTTTTTTTTTTTTTAAAATAATACTTACCTGATAACGGGAAATATTCAACCGCAGGTAACACACTGCGTGTAACTCTCACTGCTTCGTGTGCAGTTGTTTTCTCAAAATCTACTTCAAATTCATCCTCCCTGAAATAAAAAATCATTTTCAGTTAAAAGAAATAGTGGAATTAGCAAAGTAAAAATAACTGCCGTTTTCAGCAAATTTTCAACCTCATCTAAGGACAAAGTAGAAGTAAAATAATTGGCCAACGCATGGGTTGCCCATGCAAAGATGCGTTTTTTTTATAGCTCCCTGCAGATTTTTGTCGCTAACTGCACTGGTTTTTCTGGTAGATGCTTCTAGCTAAAAGAATTTCAGATTGACACCAGGACCGTTGGGAAACATCCCTTCAAAATCCCAGTCCTCTAGCTTTTCATTTTCCTGAGTTAGTAACTTACCTGGAAGAAATTTTCAAGGGCCCGTACGCAGATACCACGCTTGCCCGCGGACAGGGCTTGAACTCGTTAATACCTACTTGGAAGGGGAACATTGCCCTAAGATTTCAGCGTTCTAGCTTCTCAAATCCCCGAGTTATGAACTTACCCGAAAAAAATTTTGGCGGGACCGTACGCGGGCACCACGCGGGTGTTGGCACCCATTTTGGGGATTGGGGCCGGCACGTGCCTGCAGATTAAGTTCCCGAAATTTCAGCCCCGCAGCTTTTATAGATCCCGAGATGAAAGTGCGTGACAGA